TTACGAAGTTGAAGAGATAATGTTGGAGTTTTTTCTTCAATTAATGTATCAGTTTGTTTGAGATTATTTGTTGGCACACGATGATGAGGTGCATGAAGACGAGGAGCTGAATAACATGGACGAAGTGAACTTGTTGTTGGTGTTGTTGGTGATGATTGTTGTGCTAATGAATGTGGTGATGGTGATCGTGATGGACGAAATATATGTGGTGAAGGTGAACGTTGTCGACCTGTAGCTTGTGAATGTATACTTAATTGTGAATAAGGTGATATAGATGGTGATACATATAAGGGTCGTGCAAGTCCTGTTGTTGGTACACCACGTGGTACAGATGATTGTCTTGAATATCGATGATGATGTAAATGATGTCCATATGGTGCAAGACTAGCACGTGGTGTATATAATTCAATAAGTTCACCTGTTAATAATGAATTACGTTTAATTATATGTGATAATTGATGACTTCGTGAACTTTCACGTCGTCTTGAGCCAATTGTTAATGTATCATTTATTCCTCCATATTCACTTTCAAAATAAGTTGAACCGGTAAATATTTGTGAAAAATAAGATGATGCAAAATAGGATGATGTTGACATACGTTGATGTCGTCTTGAATTTGTTGATGATTTTCTTAAAAATAAATCATTTCCATTATTTATTTGTAATGTTAAATGACGAGAAAATTTTAAACGCCATGGAATAAAAAAACATGTATGACCAGATGGTCCAAGATAACAAAGAAGTGATTGAAGAAAAAATGTTGAATAAATAAGACTTATCAATGATGTTATTGTATAGATTATTGCAGATTTTGATAGATAAGGTAATGAAGAAAATAAACAAGGAGTACATATAACAAATATTGAAAGTGTTAAATGGAATAAAGTTGTGCATAATTGTTTAAGTGAATAGATTGTTCGATTTTCACGTTGAAAAAAAAAATGTGGGTGCTAATTTATAACTAAAATAAAAAAAGAAGAATATCTTATAAAATCCTTTCATAGGCATAATGTCTTTACAACATATTATCCATGTGTTATAACCTCGATCATTATGTGTACATAGTAGAGAACTGCAATGCCCTCCGAAACCCGATTCCGATGGAGTCGGAGTCGGAGTCGGAGTCGGAGTCGGAATAAAAAAACCCGACTCTGCAGTTCTCTGGTGCATAGTCGTATCCTCTTCTCAAGCTTGGCGAGTAAAGTATTGTATCTACTCTATAAGTATGTGTAAAAATAAAGAATAAAATGCGGTAGTCGTAACGGATATCTATTCATTAGGGTCCAGCAGGACCGGGTTTTTTCATCCCGATCCCGACCGTCTCTCACTCGACAGAAACCCATCCCGATCCCGGCGTAATATTTTTTCGAGATTTTCGATGTCGTTACCATTTTCTGTGAATACAATTCACCCAGACTTAAAACCCATTAATGTATTTACTCGGGATTCCGTAGTCTCTATCCCGTCGGACCCTTCCATTCGTCTCTCTATGTCGAAAACTAATTACAATAGGATGCATTCTTTTTGAAAAACCTACCTAATCGAATAGAGTACTGAATATTGTGTACAAATAATAAGTCCAACTGTAAAATATGCCATATTTTCTACAGTTAATTTATAATTAAATAATGTAAATATTGCAATACAAGTAAGAAAATTACATAATGCTGTTAATGTAACAAATATCCCTAGGACACCTGTAAATAATACTAAAAAAATTAGTATAATTGCAAATTTAATTCCTGTTAAAACATATTTTTCTTGTTCTAATTGTTCCATAATTGTATAAGTTGAAAATAATTCACTTGACCACCAAAATGACATGAAAGAAAATATTTTTGTATAAAATTTTCCAATTGGATTTGTTTTTAAATTCTCATTCAATAATTTCCATTCAAGATAATTATTTATATCAGTTAATATATTCCATTTATAATTTATTGTTTGTAATAAATATCGAGGATTTTGTGAATCACTTATAAAACGTAAACCATTTTTAATTAAAAATAAATCATCCGATGGATTAGAATTATAATATAAAGAATTAAGACATAAAATACATTCATAGGAATTAGATGTTTGATTTAATGAACATATATGAGTACAATCTAATGATTGATTGTAATGATTAGATATAATGGAAGAAAATTTTGTATTGGATGAAGATGATAATATTGAAGATGATGGAGATAAATCACCGAAACAATGAATATTATTGATTGTTAATGGAAAATTAGACATTTTTGGTAATCTAGAGATGGAATAGAAGTTAAAAAAAGGTATAATAATTTTCTTACTCATGAGATGTATCATTATTTGATAATTGACGAGTAATATGTCGATGATAATGTTTGTAAGGTAATGTTTTTTCATTTGTTTTATATTCAAAATTTTGTTCCTGTTGAAATGATCGTAATTGTGAACAAAAAGCCATTAATTGTGTTAGATTTTTTTCTAATGCATATTGAAATGTACGAGGTGTACCTGGTCCTAATAACATTTGATTTTCACTATTATAATAAAGTATAGGAATATCTCGAAATGGTATCATTGATTCACTTGGTACTTCCCAACGTGAACCGATATAATATGTTATATCAATATCTAATGTTTTTCTTGTTATTAAAGATTTTTCATTTGTTACATGTAATGGTAATGTATCAAATGTTATTCGACACATATTAAATTGTAATTTTGGCCATTGAAATATAATAACAAATGCAAAACAAGCAATAAGAGTTAATAAAGTTAACCAGAAAGCTTTTAATCGTATAATAAGATAAGATATTGTACGATCAATACAACAATTTGTTGCTGCAGTTGTTAATATACGATATAAAAAATGTTCAATTGATGGAATAAATGATTTATATCGAAGAATAATAATAAATGTAACTAAAAAATAATTAGATAATCTAGTTTGTTAATTATAAGAACATACTTAAATAAGTTTAGAAAAAAATCTAATAGAAAGATTAAAAGATTGTTTCTATATTTAATTATATCTAAAGAACAGTATTTAAAGGATCTTAAATTAACAAGTAACACTCGTCTGAGGACTTATTTAGCTCTTTCTCGTAGGAATACATCCTCTTCACATTTAATGGAAAAACAAGTAAAAATCTTGCTATCCTTTATTGTTCCCTACTCAGTGGTAAACTCAGATCAAAACATATTAGAGTTGTCGGTACTAGCGGCTTGTCGAAGTAGCCTTTAACGAATAAGTGAAGTATTAGTAATCTTACACGCAAAAAAGACAACAGTTTATGATCGCCACACTTTGTACTACAAGCAGGGGAACATTTCGGTACCCATTAACTCGGTTTCTATCAGTCCACGTCACTTCTCCCAATTCCCCGCTCCGTTCCTGTTAAGTAATCTGAGCAAATGGGGCGCACATTTGAAGTCTCCGCATCGGAATACCTCAAGAAATATCTTTTCCAAAAAATCGGTCTTCGATGTTTTTTTGACCATGCGGACACACAAACAATCAAGCAAGAAATCAGACAATTTATATTTACTGGACTCTTCTCTACGAGAAAGAAAATAATAGAAATATCGATATGATGAATCATCTATAAGAAAAAACAACAACAGAGATCATAGTTGGATTAATCTTTAGTATATTTTCAAAGAACTGACTTGTATTATCCCTCCGTAATCTTTATAATATTCATACATCGAATACTTTCGGTAACTATCATTAAATGTCTCTTATAACATCACATGATTTATTAATGAAACGATTAAAAATTTATCAAGTAATTTCTTATATCTATGAATAGATAAAAAAATCCTAATTGAAAAAACCGTATCACATTATTTGCTAATCATATTCATCTTAATCTAGAAAAATAATAGATTTTGTATCTAATACTATATTATCTTTTTACTAAGAAGAAAAGGATAAGTAGAAATGTTCTTACCAGGATAAAGAGTAAATGAAATAAAAAATGATATTGATAGAAGTAAAAAAGCAAATACTGTAAAACATTGTAATGCTATTATTTGATTTGTATATGTAATAACAAGTACACATATTGCCGTAAGATTTTTTGGTACTAAATAATAAAATGTTTGTGTTAATAAATTTTCAATAATACGATTTATTGTACAATCATCTCGTCTATGATTATTAACAAACCAACATGTATACCAAAGAAATGAATCAATTAATATTATAAATAAATATAATGTTATACTTGTATAATTAAGTATTGTTATTGGAAAATGAAATATATAAATATATATAATAAAACTTGATAGAATTGTTAAAAATATATGAATTAAAATAATAAATATAAAGAAAATATTTTTAACAAATAATATTAGACATAGAATATAAAGAATAATTGTTAAATATATAAATATACTATTTGATTGAAGAAGATATTTAAAAAGAATTTGTTCATCATTAAAATCAAAATTAACATGTGTTAATGAGAAATTATTTTTATATTGATAATAACGAAGATTATTATAAAAATAAATAAGTTGTTTGTTTTTATTTGTATTATTTTCGATATTAATATAGATTTTAAATGTTAAAGATGATTCAATATGTTTAAGATAATGATGAAGACGATGATTTGAACATTGAGATGTATTACATGTTGACCATTGTAAATCATATTCATTTAATTGATTTAATGTTAAATTTTCACATTGTTCTAAGGAATTTAAATAACCATCAAAGAGAAGAGAAACTAAATTAGAAACAAAAATAATGAATCCAATGTTTTTTTTTAATATAATTATTTATTTATAACAAAAAAAGATCACATGATTATCTCTACTCAGAAAACAAAAATAGATTTTTGTTATATGATATCTGTGTTTCACTGAACTTTATTAGTACGAAGTTTATTTATTTAGTTAACTCTACTCGGTAAAATAAACTGTTTTTAATCAGAAGATAACAAAAAAAATAAACGGAAAATTGAGTTTTTATTCTTAACTATCAACATGATTAGTAGTACTTTACCTGGTCCTATCTGTTGGCAACATGTATCATCTATTGATGATGAACAATTTGTATATTTTGTGCGTAAATTCCATTCAAGTTTACAAATTGTTTTAAAAGTATTTATATCATGAAATAGACTTGTAAAATTATTATTAATATGATATGTTAATTCAGTATAATGTACTAAAAATATAAAAATTTATTTTTGAATATTTATCATTTTTTCTACATACATATAGGACATGTAGGTAAATAAAATCTTTTCGAACAAGGATTGATATGTGGATTGAAAGACGAATAAGGTATTTGATGAAATGTCTAAAAACAGATATATGATTATACAGAAAATTATTTCTATTCACGAGATATTAATTAAAGTTATTTTATGAAACAAAAATGAATAAATAATTTCCGAAAGGTATATATATATATTTATTTTTAGAGATAAATACTTTGCTTTTAAATGAATTTGGAAATAAATGTGTTGTTTGAGTTTCACGTATAAGTGCAATTAATTTTCGATATTCATCTGATGATTTTGTTCCATGAGCTTGAAAACCCTAAGAAGAAGAAGAAAAATATATTTAATTAGAAATTCGATTGTTTTCTTTTTGTTTCTTAAAAAAATATTTACTTGTAATAAAGGTCCAAAATGTATTTGATTACGTTTATATATTAATAAAATAATACAAATACTTGTCATAATAAATGTCGAACAAAATATCAACAAATGATATTTAATTAAAAATCGAGCGTATCTATGTAAATAATCGATTGTTATATATATATATATATTTTTTTTTTTTGATTAAAAATAAAACTCATATTTTCAACGAGTCAATATAATTTTACTTACTTCACTTTGAAATGACTACTACAAACCATCAGATACTGTATATAATTCAACAATGTACTAGCTCGATTTATATATTCTAAAAATATAACCAACAAAAAAAAATGTTTGAATATATATCTCAATTATTTTCTAATTAGATAACACTCGACAAGACACAGTATAGATAAAAGAAGAATTTGCAAATTCTTTATTAAAGCACGCACATACTAAACATTGTTCTAAAAATGCTAATTCTAAGGATGCATTTACATCCAATTCAGTAGTTAATATGGAATCTATAGCTAGATATATATATATATATTTTTTTTGCTCTTTTGTCTCTATCATTCGTTCAATTGCTGGTTGCA